CCGCCTGCCGGTCTCCTTGCTCTCCAGTCTGTGTCCGTGCATCGGTTCATCTGTCGTTCGGTCAGTCCGGCTTACCTGTCGGGCTGTGTTGCGCCCGCGCCCGCTCGCCTCCTGCAGCCGGGCTGGCGCGGCGGCTTTTATAGGCGCGCGTAGTACTCGTGCAGCGGCTCATTCATGCGGCCGCGGCTCCTACACACTGACGCGCTGCCGACGTCAGCAGGGAATTTAGGAAACGGGAAGAGGGGCTATTTATAGTGGCGAGGCAGGGGGGCGGGGACCGAGGCGACGGGGAGCTGGGAGGGGGAGGAGGGGCACGGAAGCAGCAACGGGGAGGGAGCCCGCGCCCCCAATCTCCAAGGGGTTAACTTTCCGGAACTGCAGGGTGGGGGCCCGCGGGAGGACAGTGCAGGGAGGAGGGATCAGGTTCATTACATGTTTATTCACTCTGGAACATCTAGGGGCGCAACTCCACCCCCTGCCCGGCCTTCCAAGATCCTCACCCGGTAGCCCCCACTCCCATTCCTCAGTCCTTGGACCCGATGGCCCTATGACTTTACAAGATGCCCAGTGGCGGCGTTATATCCTGCAAGGCCACTGTGTTGTCTTCACCCTGAGGGTGGGCAGGAGAGGAAGTTGGACCCCTTGGTGGGGCCTAGGACAGCATCTAGAGCTGTGGTGTCGAGGAGATGAGGAAAGAGGAGTGGGGGATCCTGGAAGGCTTTGTAGTAGGAGGCTGGGCCTGGAAGGAAAGACCCAGTGGGGGTCCAGGTACCAGTCGGGAGATGGACACTCCAAGGAAGGCAGATAAGTTGAGGAGGGTGGCTTGGACTCCCCAGAAATGAGCAAAGGGTATCCTCTATGGGGGGAGCTGGGGGAAAGGAGGCAGAAGAAGGGAGAGAGGGAGAGAAAACTTCAGCAAGTGGAGAGGAGGCTAGGTCCAGAGTGTCAGTTTCAGAGCCTGGCACCGAGCAAATGCGTTTAGTACCCATTTGTAGAATGATGGACATTAGAGCTCGTATGAGGGTGACAGTGAGTGAGAGAGACCAATCAGCTTGGCAGAGAGGAGTCTCCAGGGGCTGGCAGGGCAGAGACCACTTCCTGGAGGAGTTAGAGTTCCTGGAGGTCAGAATTGGCAGGAAGAGCCCATGCCATATGGGGCAAAGTTATCTGGGACAGCAGCAGGGAAATGAATGATCCAGGCCCAGCCTAGCTCCATCAGTTGAAGGTTCTAAATGCAGGAGAGCAGTATGTTTAGAGGGAGGAGCTGCATTAGGGTGGGGAGAGGGCAGTGCCATGCCAAGGCAGGTGGAACTAGGGAGGAAGGGAAAAGTCAAAGATTGAAGAACAGTGAAGTCCACAGGAAGGCAGCTAGGCTGAGGGCAGATCTGTGAGGCCATCCCATACAGATGTAAGGACAGCTTGAGGGTAGTAGCTGGGGCAGTGAGTTAACCTGGGGAGTGGGAATCTGGGGAGAGTGTTGAGAAAAACAGTGGGGATAGGAGACCCTGTGGTAGGTCTACAGTGAACAGACTCCACTGCACAAAACAGGGCTGATTGGATCCTTGTGGGATCTGACCCCACCAAGAGAATAAAAAATTACAGCAGAAATGGGGTCAAAGAGGTCCTGCATACCCTTTGGGATCTGGTCTCCTAGCGTTCCCCCCCTTTTTTTTTGCCTCCAGCTTTCTCCAGGAATGCCTTCCTCCCTGGGGGGGAAGAACTCTTATTCATCCATCAAAGCCCCAATCTAAGAGCACTTCTCAGGAGCCTTCCCCTCTCCCCCTAGCATTACGTACACTTTTCCACCTCAGCGCACAGCACATCCCTTGGCCCCTGGAGGCCAGCAGCTCCGGAGCCCAAACATTTTCATTATTGGGATCTCATTGCTTCCTTAGTGAGGACCCCGGGGCGGATGGAGGGAGACGGAGGAGATGACTGAGATAAGATAGACCCAGAACACGGAGTGGAAACAGGGCGAGGGCGGACTTAGGACGCAGTGAGAGTCAGAAAGACCCTGGGGACCAGGAGCCACCTACTGGCCCCTACGCCATGAAGTCGCCTGTGGAGGAAAAAGAGCCTCTGGGGGGCGCCCGAGACCTTGGTGTCTGTAAGGGACCGTGAGTGGCAGCGCTGGCGGCCCCTCAATCAGTGACTCAGCCACTACCTTTGGTGGGGGTGTGGGGGCGGCGAGCGCGGCCCCACCGCCCGGCTGCCCTGCTTGGTTGCTAAGCTCTCCAAGGCCTCTCAGAGACGCGAACTGGGCGAACCTCATCGGTTACTATGGTAACTGCGCCCCAGCCTCTCGTGCGCGGCGGCTGAGGGACGCGCAGCCAATCAGAAGCTGCAGGCGTTCTCGGGGACCCACTCCCACCCCCTAAGTGTGGGCGGGGGTCAGGAGGTGCCGGGAGGAGGCGGAGCGTGGGCCGCGGAGACCCACTCAGCCACAGAGGCGCTGGCTACAGGCCCGCTGTGGTGACGGGGCCTTGCGGAGACACTTCCGGAGTAGCTGTGCGAGCACCCGCGCGCTAGTGCGGTGGTCCCCTCCCTTCTAGAAGGGACGTCACCTGCAAGAACCGTACCATCAAGTGGGGTGCAGGACCTTGCAGGGGGGATCCTAGGCTACAGGCCCTCCTGTCACGTTTCTCTCGGGTCCATGGGTTGGGGACTAGGTCGTCCAAGCGGCCCCCTCAAAACGGCTCACATAGGGAATCTGGGGGCCTGAGTCGCTTCTTTACGGGACTCCTAAGGAGCGCTGTCCAGCCATTCCCAGTAGTATATCCTGGGGTCTTTCTGGAGACCTTCTAGTTCAGGGCAGGCTGTTTGGGTACCAGTTCTTCCCCGGGTTCACGGAGGGCCCTACATGGCACCTTCCTGAAAATGTCAGAAAGCCGGGTCTTGGACTCTGGAGGGGGGCAGGTGTGTGTGTTTGTGCAAACACGAGCGCCTGCAGGTGTTGATACCTGGAGAGGGTCTCGGTGCAAATAGGTTTATTCTGTGCATACCTAATCCATGTGGCTGAGTGAGGGTGGGTGTGTTGTGGGGTGGGTACAAATGGACAGTGCCATCCAGGAATATCTAAGGAAGAGAGTCCCCTAAGATCTTGTCTGTCTTCTCCCTTAGGATTTCTGTAACCCCTCACCCCCACACCCCCGCAATCTACTGTCACCAGAGTCCCCTCCTTGGGGGCACGATTTCTCTGAATTGGGTAATGTGAGAATTTAGAAATATGTACATGGGAACTTTCAGCTCAAAACCCATGGGTTTGTGGGGCTCACAGGTCTGAGGCTGGGGTCTCCAGGTGGTCAAGTCTGGGAGGCTGAACTTGCTAATGGGCTCCCCCCTTCCCGGTCCAGCTCTGTATCTGCGAACCTCTAGCCCAGGTGCGCGCGCGGGAGGAAGGTCGCGGCTCTGCCGCGCAAAGTCCCGCACGGCCGCGAGGTGGCGCCGTAGTTGCAGCAGCGCCCGCCGGCCCGGGCCGCTCCAGATAAGAGTGTGCGGAAAGCGCGGCGGGGCTGAGACGCGACCAGGACGCGG